GGAGTGGGACCTTTCGGGGCCAGAGGAGGCAAGCAAGGTGGAGTCCAGGCAGACTTTGCCACCCCAGCATTGGACCCAGTAGAAAGAGGCACGGTAATTTAAAACAAAAATTAAATCCTTTTTCCTAGTAAAAGTAGTGCTTGAAATGCATAAGAACATAGCCATATCAAAAAAAGATAGCAACTTCAATATGTGATAGCAAAACATTAAAGGTGTATTAGAGATCTGTCTCTGGTAATTGTGTTTTGTTACCATATTACCTTACAAGCCTTGCTTTACTAGGTGCTATAGAAACTCAACAAAAAAAATCTTTCTCAAAGAACTTATTCTATAAGTCTAAGACAACAGACACGCAGATAGTTGTAGATTACAAGGAAACAACGGAACAAGATTTGTTCACATGATAGGCAATGGTTTTAGTACACCATTGCCTAAGCACTGTTTAGTTTTTGTACTTATTGTGGCAAAAAATTTCAAGGAGGTATTTATTTTTGGATAGCTCCTTCCGAGTGCAAGCGACAGTGCCTGAGGAAAGCACAAAGGTTCTAGTTTGAAAACTTTTAAGTGTCTGAGAGTGGCCTCATTGGCTAATTGGAAACGGGAGTTCACATTTTGATAGTGCATGGGAGATAAAGGTGGGGGGGAAAATAGGTCATGATGGGTATTGAAACTGAAAAATAGCTTATGCTTGATGCAGTAGAGCAATGGGAGGGAATAGAAGGATGGAAATAGAGACATGCTATGGAAAAAACAATAGCCTGCAATGGTCTTTGTTTGCAGCATAGTGAATGCATATAAGAAGAGCAAGATTGTGTTTGATAGGGCTAGAGAAATGAAGTGAGGCAAATATTCAACATGCAGTTTGATAACTTAGACAAGAGGTTTAGTTGTGTGGAAGAACAGACTATGCAGAAAGAATTTGCGAGGCTGGATGTGATGACTTGGGGATCAGAGTTGAAGATGATGCAGGCTAATGTTTTGGGCCTATGACAGGCAGAGGTCAAGAAAGGACCAGATTGAGAAAAGTTGGGAGGAGAAGAATAAGAACTACATGTTGGCCAAGTTAGATTTCTGTTAGTGGTGCTGGATCAAAGTTTTCAGTTTGGCAAAAGGAGATGCATCTACCTCTACACCAAACCTATCAGTAGTTAACATACAGATGAGATTATTCAGAAATAAAATGTAGAAGAGAAGGGTCAAAGAGAAGAACTCTACATAACCTTCACAGAAATTTGGAAAAGAAATGAGGAGGATCCTCTAAAGACGATGCTGAAGGAATACTTAAAGGCAGGAGGAGAACCAGGAGAAGATAATAACAGAAACCAGGAAGAGACATGATATCAAGAAGAGCAAGGTTGGCAGCATTGAAATTAGCTGTCAGGAAGGAGGGATGGAGTTTTGCTTCTGAGAGACTTTTGACAAGAGCAGTTTCAATGGAATAAGCTCAAGGAGTAGAAGCTGCATCAGAGAAGGTCAGGGTGGAGTTTGAAGAGAGAAACTGCAGACAGCAGTTGTAAGAGGCTTCAGAGCTGAAGTAGATGGGGCAGTTGGAGGGGCAAATAGAGTAAAGAAGGATTTTTAAGATGGGATAGACAAAAGCATGATTGAGGTGTGGCAGGACAGGACAGGAGCCAGAGAAGAGTGAAAAGTTGAAAGTTGTCAAAGAAGAGATGAGTGTGGACACACACAATTAGGAGATGGGATGGGCTACTAGAGGGATTTGGGGGAAGTAGATTTTGGGATGGGCAAGCAGAGGGATTTTGATAAGGTGAACATTTTAATAGTCAAGGGTGTTTAGGGAGGTGGCTGATGTGATTGCAGAGCCATTGGCCATCATCCTTGAAAACTCATGGCAATCGGGAGAAGTCTCGGGTGATTGGAAAAGGGAAAACATAGTGCCCATATTTAAGAAAGGTAAAAAGGAGGATTCAGGGAACTACAGACCAGTTGGGGAACTACACCTCAGTCCCTGGAAAAATCATGGAGCAGATCCTCAAGGAATCCATTTCTAAGCACTTGGAGAAGGTGATTAATCATAGAAGTCGGGTCGGAAGGGACCTTGTAGATCTTCAAGTCTGACCCCCTGCCTGGGCAGGAAGAAAACTGGGCTCAAGTGACCCCAGCCAGGTAGGCATCAAGCTGCTTCTGAAAGGCCCCCAGGGTAGGAGCCAGCACCACTTCCCTTGGAAGCTGGTTCCAGATCCTAGCCTCCCTGACTGTGAAGTAGTTCCTACGGATGTCTAATCTAAACCTACTCTCCAACAACTTGTGGCCGTTATTCCTTGTTATCTCGGGGGGCGCTAGGGGAAACAAGGTCTCCCCCAAACAGTCAGCATTGATTCACCAGGGGCAAGGAACAGTCAGTATTGATTCACCAGGGGCAAGTCATGCCTGACCAAACTGATTGCCTTCTATGATGAGATGACTGGCTCTGTGGATGCGGGATGTGGTGTACGTTGATTTCTAGCAAGGCTTTTGATATAGTCTCCCACAATATTCTCGCGGGGAAGCTAAGGACGTATGGGCTGGATGAATGGACTCTAAGGTGGATAGAAAACTGGGTGCAGCATTGGGCTCATATGGTAGTAATCAATGGGTTGATGTTTAGTTAGTAGCCGGTATCAATTGCAGTGCCCCAGGGGGTCAGTCCTGGGGCTGGTTTTGTTCAGTGGTTTCATCAGTGATCTGGAAGATGGCATAGAGTGCACCCTCAGCAAGTTTGCGGATGACACCAAGATGCGGGGAGTAGTAGGTGTGCTAGAGGGTAGGGCTAGGATTCATAGTGACCTAGACAAATTGGAGGATTGGGCCAAAAGAAATCTCATGAGATCTAACAAGGACAAGTGCAAAGTCCTGCACTTAGGACAGAATAATCCCATGCACCAGTACAGGCTGGGGACTGACTGGCTGGGCAGTGGCTCTGCAGAAAAGGACCTGAGGGTTGCAGTGGACAATAAACTGAATGAGCCAACAGTGTGTTCTTGTTGCCAAGAAGGCTAATGGCATACTGGGCTGCACTGGTATGTGTGTTGCCAGCAGGTCTAGGAAAGTGATAATTTTCCTGTTGGTGCCTCTCACTCCTCTTCCCCCCCCCCCCCCCCCCAACTCCATCCCTGCTGGAGGGTTGCTGCAGCGGAGTGAAGCCCAGCTCCCCTACTTGCCTACTCCAGGCTTAGGTGGGGGGGAGGCAGCTCTCTGCCACTGCATGTACTCCTGGGGGGCAGGGGGGGGACTTGTGCCCCCCAGATCTGTGGGCAGCGCTGGAACAGGAATGCGTTGCCCACTGTGGTCTCGGGCTCTCTGCCCTGCTGCTCTCCCCCAGGGACTCCGCAGCCCAGCAGGTGTGACCTGGTGCTGCAGGGAACAGTGAGGCCATGTGAGGAAGCTGCTAGCCACTGTAAGCTCTGTTGCCCTGTTGCCATGTCCCCTGCCTGTGTGGAAGCAGCAGGGGTGGTGCTGTGGGGTTGAACCCTTTGCTGCAGCTATGTGGGCAGCAGATGTCTTGCCAGGGCAGTGCAGGGCTTGGAGCGGCAACGAGCCTCCCCATGTGGCCCCTGCTGTTGCCTGCAGTGCCGGATTGCACCCTCTGGGCTGTGGAGGCCCTGGGGGAAGGCAGCAGGGCAGGGAGCCTGAGCCCGCAGCAGGCAGCTCACCCCCACCCCATGTATACATGTGGGGGGCACAGGTCCCCCCTGCCTCCCTGGGAGTGCATGCAGTGGCAGGGAGCTCCACCCTGCCCCCTGGTCAAGCTGCCTGCAGCCCCATCCTACTCCCTGCCAGGGCCCTGTGGCTGCACGTTGTGGCCCCAAGCCCCATGTATCACCCAGCCATGCCCAACTCCCTTCCTCCCTATGGGGGCCTCAGTGCTTTCCCCTCCCTGCCCCACCCCCACTTACCTGCGGTAGCTGCTCTCCTGGCTGCCTGGTGGTTATGTGCGTATACATACATGTGGCACCCCCTGACTGACCGCCTTCCTCCTGCTGTCTCCCAGGCCCTTGCAGGGTGGAACTCTGCCAGCGTGCAGAGAGCTCTTTGCAAAACTGCAAAATCTGCGGGTTTCTCCAGTAAAATGAGAAATCCCAGGTTTCTTCTGGTAACAGGTAAAATCTGCAGTTTTCTCAATTTTTCCTGTGGGAAACAGAAATCCCGGATCCCTGGTCATCATCTTGGAAGCTGAAGTCACTGAGTGAGGAGGACAGCCAAGAACTGGAACTGGAGATTGGGTGGACAATAGATGACATGGAGATGCAGAGAACTCAGCTGTAAAAGCAGTTTTGTTGGGAAAAGGGAATGTGTGAATTTGTCATGATCTAGTGAGGTACCTGGTATTATTCTGTTGCCAGTGTTCATTGCACACAAAAGCAAAAAGAAAGCCATTATATCTTCTTGAAACAGCTTTGGTCAGTCTTAGAAGCATTTGGTATGCATCATCTTTAAATGGAATTTTAGAACGCTACTAAATACTCTGAAAGGCCATCAGAGCATGTATTGCAGTATTTGCACCATGATATAGCATAGGTCGTTGCTTCCCAAACTTCCTCAGCATGACCCCATATTCCCAACCCACACCCTCCCACCCCTGTGACTGCATCCGCTGATGTTGCGACCCCATTTGGGAATCGCTGTCATGGGTATTGAGACAACAGATATGGTCCTTGCCATGCATTGTCAGATTGTTTCTTGTCTTGAATCTCTCTGTAACACCATCTCCTTATCCTCATGTCTTTCACACATTGCTTAGAGGAACCCCATCAGGTTCCTCATGGGACACTTTGGTATGGAGGACTTCTTTTGATAAAGAGAGCAAGAAGATCCCCAGTCAGACTTGTATTTGTTATCTGCAGCTCTCCAAAGAACCATTTGTCACTGGTCTAAGGAAAAGTATTGTTGCTATAATAAGTGTACTAAAAACTGTTTTCATAATATATCTTGTGGGATTAGTTTTAGTGGTCTCTCAAAAACATAAACCAAAGTAACCCCTATATCTTTCTTTTGATTAGGTTTATCTTCTGCTGTGGAGTACAGTACAACAGAGCTGGAATGGGAACTTGAAAATGTGAAGAGCACAAAAACAAAGCTAGGTATGGGTTTGGTTAGTAGTGTGTCTGTGAAACTTGTTATAAAATAGCCAAAATATATGAAATGTGCCAAAATACCTTGCAGTTGACTGATATAAATTTATCATTGTAATTCTGTACCTTGTGCATTCAGTCTTACAGATGAACAACATACCAACATTGCATTTTATTAGCAAAGCATTTAAAAAAAATTGGACATTGTGTGATGAGCATCTTTGGATTTGCTTTTTGTTTCTGAAGAAAGTTGTATTAAAATACTGTTCCTAATGCAGAAATGGCCTCATGTAAATTAGATGAAAAAAATAAATGTGGTTCACCACTGCCTTTAATACACCAATTGCATGATTTTTGATCATTTGGCAAGACTGAAGCAATACTTTTCTTCCTGGTATTTTTTTAATGAGCGATTTGAGGCTTTTCTACTATGTAATTAGGACACTTGGCATTTTAAAGATAAACTGCAGTTTTATGTCTTTGTTGTTTCTTTTATATACAACGGTTGCCACTTAAAAATGACATTTAATAGTAGGGATGCAGCACTAAAGAAATTTTTTGGCCCATACCGATGGCCAGTTATTGGCCAGCCATATCGGCCGATACCGATATGATGGCTGATATTCAGCCCATCAACTTGGAGAGCGGCATCTGGCTGGTAAGTCTGTGCGGGGCAACAGGCATGGGAGAGGGAAGGGGGGGGGACGGGACAGATCGAGGCCCCCACAGTTATGGAGAGAATGGGCTAGGGTGGGGCAGGGCATGGGATGGAACCTCCCCTGAGGGTAGCATGGGGGGCGGGGCATGTGCCCTCTGGATTTGTGCATGGGGCAAAGGTGGGCTGCCCGCTGCAGACTTTGGGCCAGGGGCTGTGCTGGCCTCTTCCCGGTGGTGGGGCTGAGGCTGGGGCTGGGTCAAGGCTGTGCTCGGGGCAGGTGGCAGCAGTGCTGGGTGGGGTGCCTATGGGGGAAATTTGGGGTGGCTGTAGCCCACACTGTAGCTACCTCTCCCAGCACTCTTGCTGCCTGCCCCGAGCACAGTTCTTGTCCAGTCCTCCTGCTGGGAAGAGGCTGGCGTAGCCCCTGACCCTGAGCCCGCAGCGGGCAACTTGCCCTTGCCTCTCACAAATCTGGGGGGGGTGCGGCACATGCCCCCTATGCCGCCACCACCAGGGGTGCGTGCAGCAGTGGGGAGCCACCTCCACTCCCTACCCCGCTGTGCCCTCTGGACCCCCCCCCGACTTACCAGCTGGACGTTACTCTCTAAGCTGCCGGGCTGCATTCCTGGCCGTGTGCATGCGGTGGCTGTGCGTACGCATGTGACATTTATTAGTAACATTATCGGCTACACCAGCCAAAAAAAGCCAATTGCCGATTTATGTTAATTTTCCTTTTATCGGTGCCGATGCAATATACCAGATATATCGGTGCATCTCCTATTTATTAGCTTAGCTCACGATATTCAAGACACTGCAGCAGTTGTTACCAACCCAAGGTTAGGAAAATACCTTATGCTAAATATCAAAGTGGTAAGTAAAAGTGGGTTTTTAGACTCCATAGTGATATCTAATACCTATTACAATGAGTATAGTTATATATGTTGACTAACCCTAAACCAGCATGATATGGAATCATCTAAGTGTTATGTGTTCAAGAGTATGTCAAAGTGTGTGGTAAAAAAATAATTTATGGTACAATTTAAAACTGCAGAATTGCACCATACCAAGAAGATACCAGCTAGTTAGTACCCCTTTCACTCAAGTTGATGTAGAAGGTTACCTACAATTAAAATCTACAAAATAAGCCCATTATAAAAAGCAATAACATATTTTTTTTGCCACTGAAGACAACTAGTATAAGGTACTAAGCCTCCTTTTTCCCCTCTTTGAAAAGAGCGACGGAAAAAAGCTTCTGCATGGGAGAGGAATTTAGTGTATCCAGCTGTTATGATACTGCTACTCTTTGTAACGGTAAGAATTTTACTGTCTTTTTTTCCTTGTGTATAATAGTTGTTTGGGGGATAATTTTAATGGTTTTGAGTAATGGAGGTGATAACCAAGAAAATATGAGAACCAACAATCCCTTCTTGAGATTTTTTTCCCGCAAAGATAAAAGTTTTATTGCCACCAGATTTCATTATGTTTAAACATTTACATTGTTTAAGTGTTAAAACCTTAGAATTGACAGAATGTCTCTACTTCTTTATAGTCCTTATCAGTCCTCTTGGTTGCTTGCAACATTCTTCGCCTGTTGGTCGATGAGACTGCAATGCCAAAGGGATCAGGGGTAAAGTAAACTTTGATTTTTTTTTTGCAAACATCAGTTATATGTTCACTAGAAGTTTTGAAAAAGCACCAGCAAGAGGCTTCAATTTAATAGCTTTAAAAAGTGTGTTTAACACCTGAGTCTGATTCTATGGGTTTAGTCCTGCAAATGTGCTAGCTTATGTCTAATTTTACTCGCACTTAGTAGCTTCATTTATCTCTTAGGAAGATCAGGCTTATGTTGATACAGTAGTAATTAACAAAGTAGGTAAATGAGAGCACCATCAGAATTAAAGGGCATATATTTTCTCAGTGCTTCCATTTTTAAGTGGAACAGAATTAATATATTTTTATAAGCAAATTATTTCAAAATGGTACAAAAGATCCTTATTATCTTTTGGTGTTTTCATATCTCTATTTTTTATTTTGCAAATAAACTTTAATATTTTTAAAGTATTTTATTTCAAGAAAAAAGCAGCCTTCACATTGTTAGATTGTCCCAATTAATGCCATTACAACATTTTTTCTAGCTTATTAATGATTTAGCCTATATGAGTACAGTCATATCACATATTTGCACAACTATATGAAGCCATTTAGTGCAAGCTGCTGTTCCATTAGTAATAATACATGCACTGAAAAAAGAGTGACTTGGAGATTTTAGATTCAGCATCCAAAGTACTGTGGCATATGCTTATAAATTACATGCGATGTGAATAATAATGTTGGAAAACTCAATTTTATATTTTCCTATTGTAAAACATTTTACTCAGATTTTGAAATTGAGCCTGTTTAATTTAGATAGGTAGAATGTAAAACTAAATTTGAAGTTACCCTGAATTTCTATACTTGAATCATGGAAATATTTTATTTTACAGTATATCTTTAATCCAAAAATCTCAGATCCTTGGTAAGGACAGAAGTTAACTTTCTGAACACTTAATGTGCGTGTATGATTAATTTATGCAAAGGTTTTTTTTTTGGTTTTTTTCTCTCATAGGGGCCTGGGATAGGAAATGCTTCTTTATCCACTTTTGGTTTTGTGGGAGCAGCACTTGAAATCATTTTGATTTTGTATCCTTTCTTTAAGTATGCTGTCTGTTAACAAGTATTCTGTCTAGTTTTCTGGGACACTGGTAATTTACTAAGACACTTGCCTGGAAAGAAGAAAGAGACAGGTCAGTCCTTCTCAAGCACTCGAAGTGTTTTTGTTTTTTTTCTTTGGTTCTTAAGACTTTTAGGAGGCTGCTGAGAACTTGAGTGAAACTTGCATTCCTTGGAGGTTCTTTTTTCCTTGATTCTCACAGCTATCTTATGGTGTCCTCTGTCGTCGGCTTCTACAGTCTTCGCTTTTTTGAAAATTTCACTCCCAGGAAGGATGACACGACTATGACAAAGGTAAGGTAAAATCTGAGGTGGTGATGGCCCCCCTTTTTTGCCACCCAAGACAAACTGACTCTTTTAGTTAGTAATTGCCCTGAATGGCTCATTTGCAGTGATCAGTATTTGTTTGTAAGCTGCGTAAACACAAACTGGAAGATTTTCAAAATGCTGAATGAGTGGGAAAAAGGATGTGCTCTGTTTAGTTTGGATGGCATCCATTCACTTGTAAAAAGCCTGGAATAGTGGAGCTTGTTAACTAGCTATAGAAAAAGCTAGTGAAAGGACTTTTTTCAAAGGAAACGTATTGCTAATGAGTAACTTTGATTGTGCTAACTGTACTTCAGGGAGCTTATTTGAAATCTGAAGAACTTGGTTGCTACAAGTAATACAGACAAAGTAATTCAAATTTGAATAATTAAAGTAAGACTGAGGAGGTCTATTCAGCAACGTTTTGCAGTCTGAGGCTAATTTGACTTTTTCCACAATTTGGCATTGGCTTCAGAATTAACAAATGCTGTTACCTAATGCTGAGGCACATGCATACATTTTTTGACAAAATATTCCCACAAACTGACAAGAGGGAGCAATCTATAAGCAAGGGGCAGAGGGAGTATTTAAATAATTAAATAATCCTCCATAATTTACATGATTGAATCACATAATTTACATGAATTTCATGATTAAAAACATGAAAGTAGTAGTGTCTAAACACATTGATTTTATGATACAAGATATTTGCTAAGGCTATTCCATGCCTTTCCTTACTTTATGTAGCATTGGAAACTGGGTTGAAATTGTCTTTGTGTCTGCACATCTTTCAGTATCTCAGGAATAGTTGAGGAAAAATAGGAACAAAATGTGTCAATGACAAATACGTTGATATCTTTAATTCACCTTCTTTTCTTGTTAATACTAGAATTAGAATTGAATAGACTTGTCTTTTATTTGATAGTAAATATAGCTTTAACTATTTCTTGTTGAAATTTTACTAAAATTGCAGACAAAACTAACATTGTTATGATTTTAAAAAATCTTTACATTTGCCAATATTGATGCAGGTAGAAGAGAAACAGTTTTTAGTTTTTCATAATTGTATAAAAATAAAACTTTAATCTTGCAAGTAGTTATAACATGCTTAATTTTACTTATCAGTCATCCCAATAAAGCCAATGGAATGATGCAAACACAAGTGGTTGCATGACTGGGACTTACATTGTCAAATGCATGGTAGCTTCTTTAAGTTTATGAAGTCACCTTTTTAAAAGAAAATCTTGGTAAGAGCAGGCAAAACTAGCCACATACCAGTTCATCTCAGAAGGAAACTGGAGATATGTGGTAGAAGCAAGCTCAAGTTAAGTTTATATAATCTAAACAAAAATTATATTAAGTCCACTTTGCAGAATGAATCTTTAAGGAACTGACATCAAAATGGAAAATGTGAAATCAGGAAAAATGTTTGCTTTTAACAAAAATCCTATATTGATGGGAGGAATGCTCTTTTGTTCAAAACAGATCATTGGAAACTGTGTCTCAATATTAGTGCTCAGCTCTGCTTTGCCAGTGATGTCAAGAACCCTGGGTAAGTTGAATATTCAAAAAAACCCTGATCTGTGTTGTTCTACATTGTGAAGCAGTTGTATAAATGAAACGACCTAGGAAAAGTTACAGTTTGTCTATTTATTAAATAACTTACAGTTACTATAAATATGTCTTCCAAGTCTTACTTTCCTTTGATGTTCATTTTGCTGAAATGTAATCAGTCCCACTGCAATGTGATTTTCATGCAGACATACCAGATTACATATTTTGGTACATTAAATATAAGTGTCTATCTAGAAAATATATTCCTTTTCTAAATTGGAAGTCACTAATTTTCTAAATAAATTATTTTTGTGTCCATTTTTAGTAGGCTGACCAAGTAGGTTGTTGGCTACAAAAGCTCATGCCTCTCTGAAGCAGTTAGCACAGGTGCCATCCTACGCTACATTCTGTCTGACTTCAGACTAACACAGCTAACTACCTCTCTTTCCACCTCTCTAAACAAATTATAAGATAAAGAAAAATACATTTGAAAACTGCTCATTAGTATAGGCACTAATTTCATGTCCATTTAAAAATAACAGTTCTTGCGTTCTATGTAAATAAATTGTTGTCTTTTATATGGGTTTGCATACATTTCATAAGTAGATGGTAGGAAGCTGGGTAGTGTGGCACCCTAGGGCCCTGCTACACGTTCAGATTAAAGCTGGATAGACCCGCTATAAAGTTGTAACATATTTTAAAGCAATAACTTTATAGCTGGTTGACTCTTTTTATAGCTGGATAGTTATTTTTATCATGTGATGATTACTTTGCATGTGTGACTGGTCTAAATTTATTGCATGGTTAACCAGCTAGTTGTATAATATTTGTAATATGTAGCCAGTAGCCTTAGAGACCAGCTCATTCAGAGAGGCATAAGCTTTCATAGGTACCAACCTACTTCATCAGATGCTGTTGCCTATGAAAGCATATGCCTTTAAATGGATGTGGCTGTGAGTTAATGCCTTGAGTGTAAAAGTCTGTTTAAAAATGTTAAAGATCCCACACGCTGGGGCTTTTTAATAGCAGTGTGAAAATCAGATTTTTGTAGGTTTTGCTAAATAATTTTGTGCAATTCTTACCTGATTATATTGTTCTGAATTTAAAATTTCATTTAATGAGCTGATTCCTAAAAACAGGTACTTACAGATCTGTTCTTGCCCCGAGTTTCATTAGGTTCAGTGACATTTCATGGAGGAACAAGGATGTCAACAGTAAATTGTGTACAGAATTGCCGCCTAAAATAACTGGCAAATCGTACCTTTAAAAATTAAAAAAAAAGTTTATACCCTCTGTATTTAAGATGACAAAATAGTGTCCCTTCTATATATTGGTGGTCTTGTATCTAAATAATGGCCTAAGTGAAAATTCAAAAGAAGAAATGTAATATTTAATCCACTCCTAAAATCCAGAGTGAATGATAGAGACTTGCGAAATAATATTATTTAACACTTAGAGCAGAACAACACCCCTGTGCAAACACTACTGTTTAAAAATAATAATGCATGTACTATGACTAACTCTCATTGCATTTGCCATTTGAAAAACTCATTGGTTATGCACTGCGAGATTAACAGTCCTAGTAATATAAACTGATTCTGTAGAGAAAAGTGTGTATGCTGGGTGCAATTGTTGTTACATAGAAAACAAATTAATGGCAAAACTCACTTTTTAAAAAAAAAAAGGCTAACAAATGAAATTCCTGAATAGTTTGCCATAGAGATAAATCAAAGAATAAAACAGAAGAAAAAAAGATGGAACAATTAACACACAGCTAACAAATGCACAGACACAGCTGTCCAAACAGGATTAATAGAGTGTATTAGAGTACAGTGAGTCATGTGGTGCTTTGCAAAATATCAACATGCATTGCATTACATGTTACGCCCAGTGGCACTGAATAGATGAAAAGAAATAAATACGTTAAACGGATTCATAGAGGCTTTTCTCAGTATTAAAAAAGCAAGCTTCTAGACTATTAAAAAGCTGGATTTTAGCATTATGGGAAAGGCAAACTGCGGAAAAGTTTATCCAGTAATTCACGTATTTAACCTCTTCAAATCTAGTCTGTGAATTTAAGATGAGATATAGAGAATCTTTACAAATTTTTGTAGCATTTCTACTAAACCTATAGGTATCAGGCTTTTCTTTGATGCCATTTCTGAAAGATGTAAGGATATTTTTAGAAATGGGAAATAAAGATGAGATGACTGGTTTTAGTATTTTTCATCCTGATTAGGGCTTTTCTGTCAGTTTCATATTTGCTTGCCATTAGGAAAAATGCTAGGAAAAAAGTAGTTAATGGCTCTGGTTATGGAAAAAAATAAGCTGCAAACAAGATTTTTGTTTTCTGTTTTATAAAATAATTTTTCTTTTGATCTTTATGAGTAAATATTGACATGATGTTAAAACTAGAGTTAAGCTTGCTTAGATACTATTTTCCTGTGTTCAGTAGAGGGGTAACTTTTTTTGTAACTTTGTATGATACTAATTAGATTCTCAAATTGCAGTCTCAAGATTTGCTTTTTCCTGAAAGGGATGTGCACGTGTATTTTTAAATAGTCAATATTAAAAAAAAAAAAATCTGTGTGCATAAAGGTAGACATTTCAGATAAGCAAATAAAATCTGTTTTTAGAGAATGGATAAAAATGTAGGCTATAATCACTTTGGATTTTTTTTTCTGCTTTCTCTGAAACTTCACATTTTCTCTTTTCTTTGTCTTCCAGTTATGCATTCTCTTTGAGGGCGCTCTCTCTCCAACCCTTTCTTTTTCAAGAGTCATTCTTACTTTCTTTGAAGAAACCCTCTGCTGACTTGTCTTGCTTTAGAACTCTATCTATTTTATTTCCCCTTTCCTTCAGGCTTCTAGAGCATCCAGTCTTGGTATACTTTTTGCTGAGACTTTCTCTTGGTGTCCTCTTGCATTTTCTGGTTTTCACTGGAACTGCTCTGATTAAAGTCACTTGGCTTTTTAACAGCCAAGTATGAAGACAGCTTTTTTGATCTGCTTCCTGACTTTTTGGTTATATCAGCCCATTCTTCCATATTGTGCTTTTATTAATCTCTCCTTAGCATCTAGATCAACTTCTGGTCCCTTCTGTACTATCCTTTTTAAGACTTTTTCTTTGTTCTTTTCCTTTTTTAAAATTTCTCTTGTGATCTCACTCCTTTGGTGTGTTCTGTTTATTTATAAGTTGATTCCACTCATTTCTGTCTCTTGTAGGTAGGTAAGATTTCGGGGGGTGGGGGGAAGGGGCTATGCATTGGTGCAGTTGGCACACCGCTTGTAATTCCATGATGTCTCATTGAGTGTCTAGCATAGAATGGGTGATTATTTTGGCTGGAGGGCCACTTAACGAGTTTTGGTGAACTGTTGAGGGCCAAATACATAAAATTAATGGTTAAGGTATTTTAACAAAGTATAGATAAAAAAACAAATCATATGCTAAAAATCAAACCTCTGCTATTAAAATATTTTAATTTTATTTCAAAAAATAATTTTTGTCCTGATTTTGGTTTTTTTTGAGTAGTGTATATAGAGGCAAGACACTTGGCCAAGAGAGGATGCCTCAACCCCTAGCGGAGCCCTGCCACTGTCCAGCCACCCCCAAATCACAAGGGAGCTTCATGCTTCAACCTACACCCCCCCAAGGGCCCTCCCCCCCCCCCCCCCATCCCTTCCCATCCTAGAGCAGTTCAGCTGCAGGGAGGCAGCTGAGAGGAGCTGAGGAGGGTCTTGCTCTGCCCTGGCTCCTACTTCACCCAGCCGTCCAGGGAGCTGCATGAACAGGATGCGCAAACAGACGTGCTTGTATGCCTGGTGCACGAGTTAGTGCGGAAGTTTGCGCAGGAGGGTGAGCGGGAGGGCCTGAGGCCCTGCCAGTGAGCCCTAGGGAAGGCAGTCCCATCAGTAGCTGGCCTACCAGCAGCACGATGCGGATGGGCACACACTGCACCCCTCGGGTCCCTTCGGAGTCTGGGGCCTCCCCCTGTGGCACCTCAGAGGCCTCCACCCAGATGGAACTCCTGGTTCTGGGCTCCACGCAGATGGAGCACCTGGCTCTCGGCTGCAGGGGCTGCCTGGCAAGTTTCCAGGCACATGAGACCAGGAGCATGGCCACCTCCCCTTGCGGGGTTTGCTCCACTTTGGAGTCTCTGGGGTGTCAGATTGAGGACCTCCAGGCCACAGTTCAGAAACTGGATGCCATCAGGGATGGTGAGTAGGAGATGGACTCCTACTGCCAGGCCCTTCACCCCCTAGAGGCGGAGGGTAGACCAAGGTCTCCTTTCAGGACAAGGGGGGACTCTGGGATCTCCCATGCTGTCCAGTCGGGGTTGGACCAAGGTGGTCAAGGGCCCCAAGGCCTGCCGCACCAAGGTCCCCTCCCCTCTGGGGCTTTGCAGCAGGTACTAACCTCTTGTAGCCCCAGTAGAGCCTGTAGAGATGCCAGCTCCTGCAGGCAAGGGAGGACCACCCACCCCTACTCTCCCTAAGATGAGACACAGAGTGCTTGTCATGGAAGACTCCCTCCTGAGGGGAACTGGGGGCAATCTGCCGCCCCGACCCCTTAGCCCAGGAGGTCTGCTACTTCCCAGGGGCCTGCATCTGAGACATATCTGAGAGGATCCCAAAGATTATCCAGCCCTCCGACCACTACCCTATGCTCCTTATCCATGTGGGCATGAATGACATGGCTTGAAGCAATCCCAGCTAGGTCATGAGAGACTACAGGGCTCTGGGAGCAGGGCTTAGAGGGTTGGAGGCACAGGTGGTCTTTTCCTCGCTCCTCCTGGTTGTGGGTCATGGGCTGAGGAGGGAGAGACCGGTTGAAGTAGTCAACCAGAGACGGCGGCGCTGGTGTCATCGTGAAGACTCCGGCTTCCATGACCACAGCCCACTCTTTGGTGAGGGAGGCAGTGGGCTTCTGGAAAAAGACGGCCTCCACCTCACTTCGCTGGGGAAGAGGCTTTTCTCAGCCAGAGTTGCTGACCTGCTCGACTGGGCTTTAAACTGAGCCTGCCGGGGGTTGGGGGGAGTACTGGCACTGCAAGCCCACTGGGCACTTTTTGTAAACCCAGCAGGCTAAAGCATTCAAGGGAACCCACCCCTACCCCAGCCCCAGAGCGATCTGTAGGAAAGGCAAGACAGCTATACCTTATACAGGAAAGATTGTGTGGACAAAAGGGGCGGGGTGGGGGGTAGCTCTGTATGTCAAGGAAAGCTAGGCACGCAGGGGGGACATGTGGAGACTCTTTGGGTCAAAATCTGTGGTGAAGAAGGTACAGGGGACACAATGGTGGGAGTCTACTAGAGACCTCCTAGCCAGGATCAAGAGCTTGACCAGGATTTCGCTAGGGAACTAGCTAAGGCTGCACGTTCCTGGTGCATGGTTGTCATGGGAGATTTCAACTACCCTGACATCTCGTGGGAAGAGCACTGGGCCACATCTGAATGGTTGCAAAGCTTCCTCATGTGTGAATGAGCTCTATCTGTCTCAAGAAGTCTATGGACTGATGAGAGGCAAAGCTCTGCTCAACCTGGTACTGGCAACAAGGGATGATGCAATCAGTGACCTAACGATTGAAGGGAAGCTGGGAGACAGTGACCATGAGCTGATCACCTTCACCATCCGCTGTAAAGCAGGCCAGTCAGTCAGCAAAGCAGAAGTCCTCGACTTCAGGAAAGCTGACTTTGACAAGGTCAGGAGGCTTGTTGGCGAGTCCCTAAGGGATCACGACACAAAGGGGAGGGGAGTTCAGGAAGAGTGGTCGCTCCTCAAGGGAGTGATCCTGAAAGCACAAGTAATGTCTATCCTATCTCGGAAGAAAGGCAGCAAAAGGGCACAGCGACCCCCTTGGCTCTGCAGGGAACTAGTGGACCTCCTGCTGCTAAAAAGAAAGGCCTGTAAAGGACGGAAGGCTGCATCCATCCCAAAGGAGGAGTACTCTGCACTGGTCCAGACCTGTAGGGAGCGAACCAGGAAAGCCAAGGCTGCTGCTGAACTCCAAGTGGCTACACGTATCAAGGACAATAAAAAGTCCTTTTTTAGATATGTGGGGAGCCGGAGGCAAAGCAAGGGTAACATTGGACCCCTGCTAAACCAGATGGGGTAATGGACGCCCAGGGAAAAAACAACCTGCTCAATGGGTATTTTGCGCTGGTTTTTCACCAGCCCCAAGGGACGGCCCTGCTCAATATGGTGTGGGAGGGCCAAGGCGAGGGAGAACTGTTACCATTTATCAATGTTGACCATGTGAAGGAACACCTTGAGGGATTGGACAACTTCAGGTCAGCTGGCCCAGACAGCTTACACCCCAGGGTACTTAAGGAGCTGGCAGGCATCATAGCTCGGTCACTGGCACATCTGTGAGAACTCGTGGTGCTCAGGCTAAGTGCCCAAAGATTGGAAGAAGGCCATTGTGGTGATTATCTTCAAGAAAGGGAGGAAAGTAGATGTGGGGAGCTACAGGCCCATCGTCCTGACCTCCATCCCCGGGAAGATCTTGGAGAAAATCATCAAAGAGACCATTCTTGACAAGCTGGCTGAAGGCAGCTTCTTGAGGGATAGCCAGTACGGGCTTGTTGTGGGTAGGTCTTGCCTGACCAATCTCATCTCCTTCTACGACCAGGTGACATATCACCTGGCAAAGGGAGAAGAGATTGACGTCATATATCTTGACTTTAAAAAAGCTTTTGATCTGGCATCCCATGATCGTCTTATAGAAAAACTGGCCAATTGCGGCCTCGGCTACATCATAGTCCATTGGCTGGGTAATTGGCTTCGAGGTCGGACCTAGAGAGTGGTAGTTGATGGTGTGCGATGACTAGGGGGGGCCCCCAAAGCTCTGTCCTTGGGCCTATCCTTTTCAACATTTTCATTAATGATGGGGACATTGGTGTCAGGAGTGGACTGGCCAAGTTTGCTGATGACACCAAACTTTGGGGTAAAGCATCCACACCCAAGGACAGGATGGTGATCCAGGCCGACCTTGACAGGCTCAGAAAATGGGCGGATGAAAACCTGATGGCTTACAACTCCAAAAAATGCAAGGCACTCCGCCTTGGAAAGAAAAACCTGCAGCATGCTTATAGACTTGGCAGTGATGCCGCTTGCTAGCACCACGGCCCAAAGGGACTTGGGGGTCATGATTGACCACAAGATGAGTATGAGCCACCAATGTGATGTTGCAGCTGGCAAAGCAAGCAAAATTCTGGCTTGCATCCATAGATGCTTCTCTAGCAAATCCCAGGATGTCATCCTGCCACTGTACTTGGCCTTAGTGAGGCCACAGCTAGAATACTGTATCCAGTTCTGGGCTCCACAATTTAAAAAGGATGTGGAGAATCTTGAGGGAGTCTAGAGGAGAGCCACGCGCATGATCAGAGGGCAGGAAAACAGGCCGTATGATGAGAGGCTGAGAGCTATGGGACTCTTCAGCCTGGAAAAGTGCAGACTCAGGGGGACCTGGTGGCTGCCTATAAGTATATAAGGGGTGTACATCAGGATCTGGGGGAACGCCTGTTCACCAGAGTGCCCCATGGGATGACAAGGTCAAATGGTCACAAACTTCTCCAAGACCGTTTCGGGCTGGGCATAAGGAAGAACTTCTTTACAGTCCAAGCCCCCAAGACCTGGAACAGGCTGCCGTCAGAGGTGGTGCAAGCACCTACTCTGGACTCCTTTAAGAGTCAATTGAATGTTTATCTTGCTGGGATCCTGTGACCCCAGCTGACTTCCTGCCCCTGGGGCAGGGGGCTGGACTCGATCTTCCGAGGTCCCTTCCAGCCCTAATGTCTGAAATCTATGAAATCCACACATGCCCCCGCAAAGCCTGGGGAAGCCCAGAAACCCCTTCCAATTTGCCCCAGCTCCTTCCCTAGGGTCATGTGGGCTGTGCCAACCTGCAGCCCAGGTGATCCTCTTCCCCTAGGAGGCCTTAGGCCACCCACCTGGGTGGATGGGACAGGAGCTGCACTGGCTGCTGCCGGGAGGTGGCAGTTGGCTGGGCAAGCTCACAGCAGTGCACAGGGCAACTCAGGAGCTGGGGTTGGGGCTTCACCTGCTAGAAGGCCCCAGGGAAGCTCTGCCACCTCCAGGCACAGATGTGGAATGCCCATTGAATGGTCCTAGCACCCGAGGTGGCTCTTGCCAGCTCCGAGCCATATTCAAATGGGGTGCTGCTGGTCCAGCCCAAGTGGGGGAACTGGGGGCCTGAGCACAGCTCACCTAGGGCCTGCCATGTGGCGCTGCATGGGCGGATGGGGCCGCTTCCATCCAGTGTCCCCTGTGGCACCAACAGAGGCTGGAGCCAGAGCCACCAGGGCCTGAGTGCAGCTGGCCCAGGGCCTGCTGCATGGCACCAGGTGGGCAGGGCTGCTTCTACCCAGCGTCTCCTGTGGAGCCAGCAGAGGCTGGGGCCAGAGCTGCCACCTGCATTGCCCAACCAGGCAATGCCAACAGGCCAGATTAGAGTCAATTGGCAGGCTGGATATGGGCCACAGGCTGTATTCTGCCTACCTTGGTTTAGTGTCTTGCATCTCTGGGCTGGGGCCACTATACATTAATGTACATGACTTGTGCAAGCCTTTCTTATTTAACATGGAAGACCAGTGTAGAAGATAGCATTTCTCAAATGACTTTAAGCCCTTTTCAAATTGAGAGGTTGCTTAAAACCTTCTTCCAGGAATTGTTCTCTCAGAAGGGCCCTGTCATTTGGAGAGTGTATGTGTGTCTGATTTTGGTGTTGAGGTGAGGGAGAGACTCTCGTAGGTATTGTTTCAAAGCTCAACATTTTTACTTCTGTGCATTTTTTGCTGAACTCATAGGCTGACTCTTGGAAACTGTTTGTGGTAAATAAAGATAAAGGTTTGGAAAGTTTTCTCATCTCTTGGTATAGAAATACTTCCAGGTATCTGGGAAATATTACTTATGAGTCTTGGAGCATATGAGCCTTGGGGTTGACTACCCTGTTAGATGGAATGGATTCTCAGGGTTTCTCATGAGTTATATTGATGACTGAGTAGATGAAGTCAAATTCAATGGAAGAGCACTAATTTCACTAGCTCTAGATACCTGAATGGAACTGAAGGACTGTTTGGACAAAACAGCGATCTTATTTATGATCACCATGCCACTTGTATTCCAGTGTCAATTATCTGCTCATTTTAGACTGCTCATTAGACCGTAATGTAAACTGACTTTGTGGTATGAGTAGGTATTCAGTAACCACAGAATTGACTCTTAAACCAGTTGTCTTGCATACAAAGTTAAATATAAAGGAATGTGTCTGTCATATGAGGCAGCATGAACACTTACAGTACTTTTGTGATTAGTTTTCCCCCCCAAAATCTAATACGGCAAACTGGCTTTCCTGATGATTTTAATATGCCTGACTTTTTTTTTCTTCAAAATTGTGTTTATTGACATTAGAAAAGAGAGTTTAAATTCATGACACGGTTATTTCTAAGATACACAATTCACTGAGCAATCTACCTGATATTTTAGTTGGCCATTGTAGTTTATGGTATAGTCAACAACCTTATGGTAGTTAATCAGGATACCAGTGACCTTCAAAACTTTGTCTAGAATCTTTTATTGTACATCTGTCCATTGCATACCTAAATAGATTTTGCTTTAATGTAGGACAGAAGGTATTAGATGGTTAGTATTAATCTTGTGTGTATTCATTGTCATTCAGAAATGCTATCAAGAATTTTTCTCAAATTTTGTCTGTCTTTTGAATATAAATATTAAATGTAATTTAGCAGGCTGTAATTACATGTTAAATATAATTTTAACAGGAATTACCAGATTTGATCTGCTTGGAGATTTTGGAAGATTCAACTGGCTGGGAAATTTCTACATTGTGTTATCTTATAATCTGCTCTTTGCTATAATGACGACCCTCTGTCTGGTCAGAAAGTTCACCTCTGCTGTGCGAGAAGAGCTTTTAAAGGCATTAGGTAACAGAGTGAAGGTTTTCATTTTTAACTTTGACTTCATTTTCCCACCCTTTTCCTTTTTCAGCCTAGTTGCCCTTTTGAGATGGTACATATGTTCCATATATTTTGTGTATGTGAAATGCTTTACAGAAACTTGTAGACATTCCAGTTTTGAAATGGGCTTCATCCTATTCACAGGGAGTACCACTGTGTCTGGGTGTAATGAGTCTAAAATGGCTCAGAGGTACAGATACGTTTTAGCAGTCCTAGCTAATTAAAATAGCATGTTAGTACATCTAAATGGTTTCAATTTCTTGCTAATCTAGAAAAAAATTCTTGGAATTTGGTTTCTTAGTTTGAGTGTAGAGGATTATTATTGGCTAGTGTATAAATTATGGCATTGATGGGGAAAATCACCTGGTTCCACAAGTAGTGAAACATGGTGACATAGTCTGGGATATTAGTGACGGAGTGAATCCACAGAGCTAAGTACAGACAGTCAAAAAGCCCAAAGCTGAATCAATTCAATATTCACAGGTTAGTTTAAGCTGTGTAGAGTGAACTGATAAGCGAGTGAACGCACATTCACTTTTGATTCCAGAAATAGAGCTGCACGCCTGCAGTGGCCCAGGCCAGAAGCTAGGGGGTGCTAGAGCTTGCCTCCCTGCCCAGGTGGAGCAGACAGCTTGGGCCAAGGCTAGCCCATCCTGCAAGGGGAGTTTGCAGGGGATGTACAAAGTACCCTCAGATGCTGGGGGACTGTAAGTTAACTTGAATCTGGAGGGGATCTGGGACAGAAGTTCAATAAATCGATTTAACCTAACCAGTTAAGTTTGATACAACATCCATCCAGGTTTATCTTAAACTAGTTTCAGCCGTTTTCAGTGGTTTACGTGCACTGAACTTCCGTTGTGTTACAGATTATACTGATTGATGTGTAATTTCTGTCCGTAGCCCATGTGAATTAATAACTAATATCTGAACTACTGAGCATCAGAGCTGTGATGCCATTTGACAAGGAGGGAAGCAACAAGTCATCCAGTAGCACCTAAAAGTAGAGTAAAGCTGCTTCTGTCTAGCTCAGGAAGTTTTTCTTCATAGATGGGAACACATAACGATGTGAGCTATGAAGTCCCCACTCCTATATCAATGAAATATTAATGACTGAACAGGTTCAATTCCTTTCAGAACTGCAAGCTGTTTTTAGTTTGTTTCCTTAAATGAAGGCCAGTAGATAGGGTGATTTATGACCGAGAAGTCTCCAAAAAGTAAACGTTCCTTATCCAACTAATATCAATTTGTCATCTTTTTGGGTAGAGTATTCATATGTCTGTAGAAGACATGGACACCAGCTTTTTCTTTGAGATACTCACGTGCTCCCTACCCCCACTCCAATTGATCTTTTAGGTATAGTGTCCTGAGTGAATTAATGCCAAAAATGGATTTATAAATCAATATGATCAGTTTCTTCTGACTTGCCTTTCTCTTGTAATAATAATACCAAGGGTTTATACAACATGTTTGATCAATACATTTTATGCTAGGAATAAGTTTTAGTGGAAGCTTCTGGTTAATTGGTTTCAACAGACGTGTAATAATATTCTTTTTTTTTTGGAGGGGGGTTTTGTCAATATAAAATCATGGAATCATAGAAAATTAGGGTTGGAAGGGACCTGAGGAGGTCATCTACTCCAACCCCGTGCTCAAAGCAGGACCATCCCTAACCATGTCATCCTAGCCAAGGCTTTGTCTTAAAAAAACCTCTAAGGATAGAAATTCCACAACTTCTCTGGGTAGCTTTTCTAAATAGTCCATAATCTGTTATTTTGCCACTGTTGGCTTCTCACCTCCTCCCCAAACTGTTGTCAGCTGCAGAAGTCTGGGAACTGACCTTGTCTGAGAAGACTGAGTTAAAAAAGGCATTGAGTACTTAAGCCTTTTCCACATCATCTGTCACTAGGTTGCCTCCCCATTCAATAAGGGTCCCATGCTTTCCCTGATCTTCCTCTTGTTGCCAACAAACTTGTAGAAACCTTTCTTGTTACCCTTCACATTGTTTGATAGCTTCTACTCCAGTTGTGCTTTGGCCTTCCTGATTTCATCCCTGCATGCCTTATACCTTAGAAATTCCACAGCAAACAAATAACTGCTCTTGTAACCATGCACAAAAGACTAACTATTCCCAAGGACTGTAGGGTCAAGGGGCCCTGTTCATTCACACAGCCTTTCCAGCAGAGATGACTTTCACTGTTCTCTAGCTTCCTGTTGCAAACACAACAGGAGGGTCTTACTTAATCCCAAGTGCACCACAGCATGTACCCATGCCCACTACTCTGCCTGACCTAGGCAAACAAAGTATCCTGGTCAGCAGTAACAAACAGCATCTCCTGCACAACACGTAGAACCCTAGTCAATTACCATACAGCTGTACCTTGCTAGAAATCTTGGCTAACCCCTCTAGAAAGGGCCACTCTGCATCTACAAATTCCCTGATCAGTCCTTGTGTCCCAGCAGAGTTGCCAGTTATTGACACTAGATTTTAGGAACCCAGTCCTTACACCTTTGTTCCAGGCAGGGAAAACCCTCAGACTAACGACAACACCTGCCAGTTGATAATAGGCAAATTTATTGATACAGTGTGATAACAAAAAAGCAACAATACAAAGCATCAAGCAGTTCTATATTTACCAATCCTAGGGCTGTCATCAGAGTCAAAGTACATCTGGTCATAATGCAGGCTCCACTCCGAGGCTCACTCTCTTAGGTTTCAGCAGTCTGGAGGTGGGATGCCGATGCCCACAGCTCCCCTCCACTCGGGTGCATGAGATGAGCTGCTGGTATGCCCTCTGTCCATGGTGTCCTTGGGGACCCTTCCCAGGGGATGGGGACCACTCTTAGGGAGCAAAACAGGGAGGGATGAGAGGGACAAGGGGGAAGAGAAGGAGGGACAGGAAGGGACGAGACAAAGGGAGGGCTCCTTTGTTAATCTCAAGTCTCTGCTTTTGTATTCTCCTTTCCCCTTGATGACTTCTGATGACTCTTCATCTGTTCCTGTCTCTGGCTGGCTCTCTCTCTGTGGTGTCACATCCTTCTGGGCCTTCTCCTAATTTAGTTTGTTCCCCCAAAACCAGGACTTAGCCCCCCTGGTGCTCTAGGGCCTTGTAGCTGGTATCACTTATCTCATGTTATGGGACAGTATGGTACATACTTCCTTAGTTCCCAGGTCGTTTTCTAGACTGTGTCCTTGCTGTGTTAGACAACCTGTCTGCCTGGAAGGCTATGATCCCATATTATGGCATTTCCCTCTCCCCCCCCTCCCAGTTCTCAGGCTCAATCCATTGGCCTTGTTGTGTCATCTGCTCTCAGAGCCATGAGAAGCTGTGCGCGTCAGACCCAAGCTCTTACAAATCAATTAACCCCTCCTGCCCATCTTGGATAGGACTTTTCCCAGGACAATCAGGGCTGATTCCAGTTAATTGCCATCCAAACTGCATGTGTTTTCAGGTGAGTGAAGGTCTGGGACAACCAGATTGGCGTAAAAATGACATGTGTTTTTACTCATACTGAAGCACATGTTGTTACCAAATTTGCCCATTACTTTGGGGTGTGCTCATTTATTAGGGATAGTTTCTAGGGTCTTGGTGATTCTGTCAATGTGCTGCTTGTGTTACTATACGGAGCTGTATTTCTCCCTTCTGCAAGCCCTCACCCCCAATGGAGCTATCTTGCAGGACTCAATCTCAGTGGGCTGGGTTCCTCCAGTCACCAAATCAGTCATACACACAAACACACACAAATTAACGTGACACGCCTGACCTGGCCGGGCTGATCAGCATGGACAGGCTGACACCCTCATATGCCAAGAATCAGTTCATAAGAGCAACAATAAAATGCAGTCAGACACAAGCACACAGGTAAACAGAATCCCTCTGAATCCGGCTGGGTGTCCAGCTGACACCCTCATGGGCCAGCATTCAGTTCATAAGGGCACGTCTGAGTCAAACTGGGTCAATCAGCCTGTACAAGCTGATCCCCTTATGTGTTTCAAACTCAGCACGTCCCAATCTTTGGCCTCTTGATGAGCAGACCCCACAATAATTTGGGCTTCACAGGGATCTTTAGCATAGGTAAAAGAAGCGTTGCTGCAGAGCACGGGAGGAAAGAGAAGCAGAGAAGGAAAAATATACCCAATTACTACCAGTTTGACTATAAAAGTTATTTATTGCTAAGCATATGAAATATATAATAGTACTAGTAGTAATAGACATGCAAAAGAAAAACAAACACCAACAATGACAATACTACCCTGGTTTCACTAAGTATTTGGGGAAACTTAGCTCAAGCTTAACTGATACAGTTCAGGTTCAGAAGTTTATGCCTAGAAAGAAGACAGAGAACGCTGGGATCTCACCTAGTCCACGGTACTCAGGCTGCAAAGCTGACAGGCACAGTCTGTAGCACAGTCCTTGAAGGGAGAGATGATCTGTTCTTCCAGCGTCCCAAGAACGACAGGGGATGGTGTCAGCACAGGGGTTTTCTTCTTCTCCTTCTTTCCTCCTGCTTCTACTTCTTTTCCTTCCTTTTCCTCTTCCTCTTCTCCCTCTAGCAGCACACACACTTACAGATTTTTATACCCTCAGTTTAGCTGCTTCGAAGCACCCTCAGTAGTGTAAATCATTGTCTTTTCTATTGACAAGGGGTTATCTGGTTTGGACCATCTCAGGAAACTGATTGATAATCAGGAAACACTTAAGATTAGGGAGTAACCCAAATACTTGGGAGCCAGCTTGAGATTCCTATGGGTGGCAGATATACTGATGGGATATCTCATGGTTTCTTCAGGAACAATAGATAGCTTGCAGCATCAGGATTTTGGATTTTTACTTGTTGTGCACAAGCCTCAGCTTAGCATGACTTTTCCAGATCTTACTATAGTCTTTTAACAGACTTAAGACAATTATTGGGGTGCTCATAACCTTTTGTGGAGAGGACTCCCACCAGTCGTCTCGGGAAAGATATGACAACACCTGGGATTAGGGCTCCAGCCGGCTGGATGCTGTGATGAACCCTTAACCATTGTTCAAATGTTGCCCATACCCCCTCTGACTCGGTCTCTTGCCTCAGCATTCCCTAACCCGGCAACCGAGTTTTAGTCAATCAAGTTTAAATAGGCCTCCCATAGTGGGACCGGGGAATGTACGGCCCGAGATGCCTATTAAACTTAGAGCTGTGTGTGTGTGTCTTGGGGGGGAAAAGTCCTTAGCAAATCCAGATTAGAACTGGTCTGATAAATGCTGAGCTGGGTGTGTGTGAACATGGGTTGATTAACATTGGAAGCACAGATTCCCCATCATGCAGCGCTCTCCTGCTTCTCTGGTCCCAGAATTCACTGCAGTCTCTGCTTCAGGCTTTCTGTTTTCCATCTCTCATGTAAATGAGACCTAGGGCAGTTGATTCACTCTTGTCACCCTTATCTGGTGAGGGTCTTAGGTGCGTCTCTCACTGCATCTTAATCAGTTTCCTTTAGGTAGAGGAGGGGGGGGGGGTGAGTCCTTTGTGAGTCAGACAGACTGTATCCTGTGCCCCGATTGCCCAAGAATACAGAGCTGAGACGTAACACTATACCTATAAGCCAATTCCCAAAAAGGCAGATCTTTAAATACTGTTTCTAAGCCAACGGCCCGAGCAGTACTCTTATACTTCTCCCTAGTCATTGTCCAAGTTTCCACTCCTTGTAAGTTTTTTGTGTTTTAGCTCATTGAAGAATTAAGCCGTGCTGGTCTTCTGTCATACTTGCTAGTCTTCCTACATGTCAGGATGGCTTGTTCCTGCACCCTCAGTAAAGTTTCTTTAAAATACAACCAGCTTTCCTGGACTCCTTTCCCCCTCAGACTAGCCTCCCATGGCATCCTGCCCATCAGTTCCCTGTGTGAGTTGAAGTCTGCTTTTCTGAAGTCCAGGGTCCTTACTCTCTTTCATTCCTTTTCTTCAGGATCCTGAATTCAGTCATCTCGTGGTCGCTGTTGCCCAAGTTGTCATCCACTGCTACATTCCCCACCAATTCTTCCCTGTTTGTGAGCAGCAGATCAGGAAGAGCCTGGCCCCTAGTTGGCGTCTTCAACATTTCTACCAGGAAGTTGTCCCCAACACTCTCCAAAAACTTCCTATATACATATAATATTTGTATTGATCTTTCAATTTTACATTAGGTAGGAACATTTTATCAAAAGAGGACCTCAAAGGTCACCTCATTTAACTGTTTTGCATTTTATTGCTTTTGATCACCATTGGAATGGTTGTGAATTTGGTTATTAAATAAGTAATGGAATGGCTGATTGTAGTAGGCTCATGATTGCTGCGCTAGCAGCATTGTGCCCTGCCTATTTGACTTTGCTATGCCGGGGTCTGCTCACCCCCCATGACTTATTATCTGAGGTGTTACCTGGAGATAGAGTCCAGTGGAATCCCTTAGACCCCAGGGATGCTGTTGGCACTTCTTCTGTGGGGCTTCTCCCCATACACCCCACCCCTCTCCACTCAGGTGGTACGAACTTGGCCTAGGTGATACCTTGGCATGATGAAGGTACCGTATCGCTCCTGTATTAAGACCTGGTGTGTCAGCTGCCAGCAGGGGTATGGTGGTGGCTTTGCAGGATGACAAAATGATAACTAAACCATACTTTAAAGCAAACAGTTGGGATGATGCAGTAGGCAGGGCAACGATGCCCACTGTTCCCAGTGCTTTGTCTCAGTCTCTGGGACTTCTCAAAATAGGGTTTGCCCAATTCTCAGCCCACCCCATGTCATGAGGGCCTCTGGGTTGAAACTAAGTCTTGACTGGCTAGCACCTGGCCATGTACCAAAGTGCCCTGTGTCTGCCTCCCCATAGTCCTAATTTTCCACAACCCTGAAAATCAATCAATAAAAATAGAATTAAATGCTTAAATTTAAACATCAATATTATCTGTTGACATTATAAAAAAAGAAAGTAAATTGATTTTTGCCAAGCCAAACTAACTAGATTGTGTACTAGTAGCACAGAGCTCTGTGTTGAGTGCTAAATCTGCCTGAGATTCAGGGTGTGTAGCTGGTGGTGAGCTCTGGGGTAGGGACAGACATTACACCTAAACCAGTTTAAGTGATCAGAAACTGGTTTATATCGGTAACAGAACAGATGTTCAGTGCACATAAACCAGTTTGAAAATGGCTGAAACGGGTTTGAGATGAACCTGGTTGAATGAGTATCAGACTTAACTGATTTTGGTCAAACTGGTTTATGCCATGTCTGTAGACCCCTGCTGGTTTAAATCAATCCAGACACTCCCAGCATGATGCTTGGGCTGGTTGGAGCTCTCTGCTCCACAGCAGAGCTGACTCTTCCCCTCTGCTCCCTGGCTGGAGCTTGGCAGAGACTGCAGGCTGCTCCTCCCCCTCCCCACTCCCTGCTAAGCAGGAATTCCCCCTCCCCTCTGCCTTGCTGAGATGTCTGTTTATTAGCTGGCAGACCACATGCTGGCTCTGGTCCCTGCTGTGACAAAGGCAGAATCAGCAGGTAGCTGATAATCCGGTCCCACTGCTGTTTTCTTAATGGGGTGATTAAAAACTGAGTTAGGGATGATAAACACTAGTATCAATTCCCCGCTGGGCTAATCGGAGCATCCTGCCAGGGCCTGGCCATGTCCCCCCTCAGCTCAGTAGTGTGTAAGGGAAGGGAAGGCTGCTTTTGCACCCTGTGGCTTCTAGCCTGAGTCACTGCAGGCACATGCCTGCATTTCTGGAATGAAAAGGGAATGTCTATCCACCTCCAAACTGGTTCAAGCTTTGCAGGTTAGACTAACCTGCAAAGATTGAATGAATCGAGACTCAGGCTTTTTGAATGTCTTTCTCTAGCAGTCTGCTACTGTTGCCTAGCTAGCTTAACACTAATTAGCTAAAACTTCAGGCTCTACAAATCCATATTTATATGACTACCAGTAGTCTTTTTCAAAAGAATCTTGGTCATTGACAGGCCTGAATTCCATGGGCACTTTTGGAAATTTAGCTCTTAAGGGCGTGTGTAGACAAAATGTGGCCCTAAATTGAAGCGGTGGGTTTTTAAAAACACTGCTTCAATTTAAGGCCAAGTAAACCCCCATGTTGTGGCAGCGGCGGCAAGTAGCACCTGCCAGCAGGCACTCGGCTTGGGCAGTCCTGGGGGACACTGCAGCTGTGGAGGGAAGCAGTGGGCCTCTGTGCAAGTCAGGCAGGCAGACTCCAAGAGAAAAAAAAATCAGCAATCCCCCTCCCCCCTTGGACGGAGCCTGCTTTCTTAGCCTGCTGCCAGGCTGCCTGCGTGGTCTTTCTGCAAAGCCACGGAGCTGCACAGAGCACAGTGCTTCGCTCTGTGGCGGTAGGGCAGAAAACTAAAACTCCTTGGTGGAGTTTTAGTTTGCTGTGCCCCAAATCATTTAAGGCGCATTATGCTGCTGAATTTGCTACAGTGGCTAGAATTACTGCACAATACGCTGTCAACATGTGCAAACACCAACACCATTAAAGTGGTGCAAAAGCATTTAACTCGCTTTAAAGTGTTGTGCGCACATGCCCCTCGTTTCGTCTACACACTGTCTTGGTCTCCTAACTCCATATTTAGGCTACTAAGTTCGGCTTCTGTTTTTGAAAATGTTTTAGATTTGGGGGTATTAAACCCAGAATGATCATTGTCATCACTTAAGTTTGGCCTGCTCAGCACAAGCCAGAATTTCCTGAATTCCTGGCTTAGCTTGCATTTCTAGGAAAACATGTCTGCGTTCAGTAAACGTGAAAAACGGCACCTGGACTGGTTCGGATTAAGTACGCTTTTAACAGGCTTTTTATTAGATAGCCTTACTTGTAAAATGAAAACTTTTCTGTTTTTCATTAACTGTAATATTTTGCAGGCTTAGATAAACTTCACCTGTCAAACAATGTAAGAGACTCAGAAACAAAGCCTGCTGCAAACGGGCATCAGAAAACACTGTGAGGAACGATCATCTTCAATCACTAGAGCTGAAAACTTCAACCTCATGACATTCCTGTCATCTCATCAACATATTTTTGTATAGATTTTACTTGTTGCTAATTTGGATCCAAGCTTGTCTCCCTCTGGACACTGCTTCTGAGAGAACCTCGCTACTGCTGGTTCTGCATGGGATTGTTTTTGGTTCATTTTGTTTACACCCCAAGCAGTTTATGCAGGAGGTGCCTTGAAGACTGAAAACTGAAGAGGATGAAAAGTTCCTGTTTTTGGATGTAGTTTCATGTTTCTAGATGTGATGTTCCACTACCGTGTGAAAAGCACAGTTCCTTGTGTACGCTATAAATACAGTGATAAAAAATAACTTGAGTCTTCATAATAAGGGATGCATTTGAAACCCAGTATAACCCTACCTGGAATATTATTTACAGTAGATATGCTTTTCTGCTAAGAATATGGTAAGAGAAAGTGAAGTAATTTCCAGAGATGACTGTTGCTTTCATATGGGATCACTAAGTTGTTTATAGTCTGACATTGCGAAGCATTCTTCAGGGGCCAGCAATTTTAAGCTTCCTGTTCTTAGCTATATGTGACCGAAGACTACTTTATTTAGTGACCATTCGACAATATCTCATCAAATTTAGCAAACCACAAGATAAATGTTCACTTCAGTGTTAAATCTGAGCTAAGAGTGCTTTGTAGAAAGCTACACAGTTATCTTACTGGTATAGTTCTTAATCCTACAAATTAAGAAAAGTGTTGTGCCATAGTGGTCAGTCGCCATATAGAACAACACAGAATTTTACACGCACAGAATTGCTTATGTATTCCTTTTATTTGGAATCTGCACAAGTAGCAGTTAGTGGTTGCTTAGTAGGCTACAATTACACATAGTTGTAGCCTAAATGTTTTACTTGAAGTAAATTTATTTATCTGAATTGCATCCTGATAGCTGTACTGTTACGCAGAGGTACAATCCAATATTTCTCAACAATCTCTACGGTCTTTAGTTTCTCTTAGTATATGTGTGTGCATATATGCACATATATGTATGTATAGAAAATTAAATGCTTTATCCTGCAGAAAAAACACAGGAAACTTGGTAAATAAACCCTATTTATTCAGTCTTCTTAGTATGAGAATGCCAAAGGAAATGAATATGAAGTCCTCCAAGCAGTGCGTGACAAACCATAGGTTGCTATTATATACTTTTGGCTATAAACTATACACTATTTTTTGTTGGTGTAAAACTGAACTATGTCCACTGAGGTCTCTGGCCTTGCACTTAATTGAGCTGTGTCACCTAGTTTATATCCGGTCTGATTCTGAAGCAAAGTAGTCTTTTCTTAGGTTGGGTGTTTCTTATCTGCTGTCTTTGTGAGACGGTTCTGGGTTCTGGATTTCTGCTTAATGTATTCCAGAAACCCCCTATGACATGCATTACATCATAAGACAAACTCCAAAGAATATCACTTTCATGAATCTGCCTTTTCTGAATTGAAATGAGTCATAATGTAAATACTACTCAAGTCGAGTCCTAGCTGTCATATCTCCTTTTCCTTTTTGTGAGTGTTAGTGTAATCAAAACTAAATTCCAGGCATACCTATTCCTAGGATGGTTATTGATACATTGTATAAAAGTCTAAAGGACAGTAAAATTGCTTGACTTTTTAAAGATTTAGAGGTATCTTACTATTGCTCAGAATTAACAGTGAGTTTTTTGGACTTCTTTCCCCACTAAGAGAAAATCCTGGTCATAAACGGGTATCTACAGTTAATTCCCTTAAAAATGAATATAGGTTTACAAGAAGATTTATCATTAAAGGCATCATTGATTTCTGCTGCCTGTTCAGAGCAGGTGGACTTAGACGCTAGAACTGTAGTGAAGGATAATAGGTGCATCTAGTTTTTTGCTTTTACAAGTTGATAGTACTGCCATGGTCTTACAAGTGTCTCCAGTGTCACTTGCAAACTGGTAGATAATGAAGTGTAGCTAGCTTTTTATAATGCGCATTCCAGGTTCCTATTATATTGTGATTTAAGATAGTTGCCAAAGCTTAAGTTAAAATTTTTGATTGAATCCACTTCATGAAATTCTGTCTAAAGATGAAGTAAAAAGTTCTGTCTAAATTTTAGAGTGATGTCCGCATTCACATAGAAACTAATCAGACTTTTTTTGAGAAGTGTTTCCTTTATCATAAGCTATCCAAGAACATTAGAAAAGATGGATCACAATCCATGCACTGTGATAATTAAATGCATTGGGTATAGGCACTTCCCAGGGATAAGTACACATGCAAGTGCCAGTTTTCTGGCAAGACTTTCTCCCTCATCTTAGATTTCCTCTGCCTTCCAAAACAGAAGCTGAATTATATGTTGGTTGCACCTTTAATGGGTTCTGCTATGTGTGTTAAAGAAATGTATTGGATCAGATAGATTACCAAAATGTAGACAGTATTGTAAAAGATTTTTACAGAAGATCAGTCTTCAAAGAAAATTGACATTGTCTTGTATAGCTGCTGACAGTGTTGGCTCTATCTATATTGTGACACTGTCTACATTTAAATGTCTGTTTAGCCCTGCAACTAGCATTCTGTATGCAAACCTTCTGACATACAGTACTCCTTTCAACTGTAAATGTGAAACCTAGGTCATGTATATTTTATGCACATACAGTCACCTAAGTAGAAGCAGTTGGTAATTCATGAATGGATATTGGCAATGCATTCCTAATATTTTTTGACTCGTGTAGAGTCTGATAGTCTATACCTTTATATAGCTAATCTTGGTGACATCAACATCTGCCTCACTTATGAGGTAAAAGCAAAGAGATGCTTCCATCTTAAACTAGATATCAGAAATTTGACCAAAAATGTACGTGATGATGTCTTAAATGAGCCACCTCTTGGCTTTCTCCTGTGTTGGCAACACAGTATTTAATGCAATGGCAGAATTGTAATATGGTGGGATTTTTCAGTGTAAGCACATCTTTGGTACTTAACACTTTAAGCTATACGTTAACTTGTTGTGATATGTTACTGTACAAGTAACAGTTTTTGGATATGTAGAAAACGTCATTTACCAATTTGTAATGTGGTGTTTATTTTTGGTCCTTTTTCCCCCAAATCTTTTACACAGTTGGCTGTTTTACAGTGTCATAAGAATTAAAGAGTTTAACAAAGAATTATTTCATGCTTTGGTCCAGAAGGTTGGTATTAAGTTTTAAATCATTTAGCAACTGGGGTATTAGTCATTCAAGCATATTGAAGCAGCTGGTAGTCGAAGCTATTTAGAGTGTCTAAAGTGTGCCCAGCACTGTACAAAACACTTGCAGTAGTCCTGAGAAACCTAGAGTCTAAATCAAATGGGGAAATGACACTCTGAATTTACTGAAAGTACATCACAATACACATGGGAAATGGCTAAAGGTCAAACCTTCATGGTGAATTTTATATTACATTAGTGATTGTCCAGATGAGTCCCTGCCACTGGTCATATCAGTTATCAATTATTAGGTTGATGTCTTCCACATGGCATTTTGGAGAACCTAGAATATATAATGTTAGTCAGCTGCTTAAAAACCCCCCAACAAAACAACCCTTATAGCCCCAGGAATTTAAGGCCACTAGTTCTTCATTTGTACTTGAGTTTTCTTGAATGTTATAAATATAAATGGATATCTTCTAGCCCAAATTGGCAAGAAGATTTTTCTTTGCAGAAGAATAGTGAGGGGGTGGATCTCTTATGGGCCATAAGGTCTTACTGTTAGTGTTTTATAAATAGCTTATCTTATTACACTGTACCAAGTACAAGGTTATCAGTGAATCTTTTCTTGTAATGTTTCCATGCACAATTGAAAATATCTGCTTTTAAATATACAGTAATTTTATCTGTATCATGTCCTATCGTCCAAAGATTTTGGAAATGTAACATAGTCATTCCTGGATTTTTTTTAAAAGAAAGAATGATGTCTTACAGCCATCAGAGTTAATGTTACAGAGGACTTTTTGGCAAGTAAGCCAGCATTCACAGAGACACAAATTAATTCATCCATTTAAGATTGCAGATGCATTGATGACGTGCTACAGGAGGAAATTCTGTTTTAGCAGTTGATGTTATGTGTGGCTCATGAATATTGAATTTACTAAATTACTTTTGCAGTTACATGAATAGTAACTGAATTCATTTTTCAGGAAGTGTTTTCAAGTCCTGCTTTAAAGCACCACATTTAATAAGGAGGCTTGACTCAACAGCTGACATCCCATGGTGTCCTCATGCTGGCTACACAGCAAGTCAAGGTATCACCAGGTTAGGTCTGTCTTCAAGAAATGTGAATCCTTACTTTTTCCATCCCTGCTTCCTCAGCTACCTTTTTAAGTATGTTTCTAGCTACCATAGGAAGCTGTGGAACTCTGTTTGTCCATGTTGTGTCAGGGTTGCCAACTATCCATAAATCTACAGACCATCTGTTTTAAAAATCAACACACACAACAAAACAAAACCAAAAAAACCCCCCACCAGTAAAAAAAAAAAAAAACAAAAAAAAAAACAACAACTAAGAAACCATGAGCTTGATTGAAGATCCATCGTTTGAATGAGGCTGGATGCAAGTGTTTGAGTTTTGCTTAATGTTAAATTAAGATTTTTCCCTGAGGCTACATGTTTATCCCTTCACCCCCTGTAGTAAGCAGCCCTGTTTCAATTGAACATTGCTTACAAGTGGGGAGGCTTGTTCAGTTTAAAACACACAATTAAAATTTATTTTCCCATGTTTCTGGATGTGGGCTTGAACCAGATTTAGGAAGTTGGTGTTAAACCCCTAAATTTGAACCTACCTCAAGTTACTGCCTCCAGGGCATGGCAGAAGGGTTACCTTTACATTATCTAAAATGTGTCAGTAAAAAACGTTTGCAGACTGCCAGTGGAAAAGAAGGGGGGGAGGAAGGTCTTTGGCAACCCTATTTGTGCATGTCCCACTCTTCACAGTCTAATTCAAGTGTCTTCACGTGTTTGGAGACTGTCCACCCTCCACCAGTCACTGGCAGATACCAACTGGGATTCTTGAACTGTGGTCAGTGAGCAGCTGGCTAAACTTCAGCGCTTCTGTTTCAGCTGCCAAACTTCAGTACAAAAGTACATTACTTACCTACTGTATGTTTCTGTGTGAGCAACTGCTGTTTGCCTCAGGGATGTTATGTGATTGTGAATGAGAGGGTCTCTGTAATAACAAATAGATGGGCACATTGTCACTGAGACAATCTCTTACATGTTTTGTGTTTAAAGTGTAAGACTAATGTGCTTTTAGGAAGGAATAACCATCTTAAGGGGAGGTAAATTAGCATGGAAACTGACCTTCACGGCATCTACATACACATTAGTTAAAACAAGTTGTGTTTTGAAACATCCTGCATCCGTTGAACTACTGCTGCCAGCAATATGAGCCGTTTCTACCCCATTCCATACTCAGTCGACCTTGAACATGGAGTTTTCATTTAGATCTGTAAAACTCTTATAAGTCAGATGGTATTTTCTTATGGACCAGGCTTTGAGTTCTTTTGGCTGTCTTTTACCTTTTCATATATGTAAGTATTTACCATTTTTCCAGTTACTGACCTCTCATCCATTGGCTTTGCAGTCAATATATATTATATTTTAATGTATGAATAAACAAAATGCAAAATAAGTGACTCCAAATAGCATATGATAACATTTGATCTGTCAGGGTAAACTGTTATTCTCAACTTTTGAAATATATAGGTGTTTGATTTCAACAAAATTGTGCTGCAGAAAATTTCACAAATTATCTGTATATTATGTTATAATGTGTTTTATAGCACATTAGCTTGTTTTTGTTACAGGAATCTGCAAATTGTGAGAAAAATGCCTATGTATCTTGGAAGCAAAGCTTCTAAATTAAAAAATAGGAAACCTCGAATAGGATCTTTTAAACTTTGTACATCTCTTACTGGCCTAAGCCATTATTCATTGATTGATCTCTCTCAATAGCCAGTTTCCAGTCATTTTTATCGACAATTCTTACATTTTTAGCTTTGACAGAATTCTTTATTGCAGAATAGGAAAGCTCCAGGCAGGCAACATGGCTGTAGTTTAATTCAGTCACTTCGCAGTTTTAGAGGTAAGATTTCAAGCCAATTGGTCTTACCTGGCTTGGTTCCTGTTTCTTTGGAAAAAGAATGAATCTGTTTTTGGGTTGTGGATTTGAATTTTTAACCTGATAAAGTATATGCAAACCAAACTAGCACATGTAAGTTTTCCTTCACCTATGTGTGAGAGTTGAGCTAACT